AGATATGCTGTCACGGAACCCCCTGTCAGAACAGAAAAGCTCATCAATTGAAGGGGAATAGAAACATATATCAACTTTAAACGTATATATCAAGAGGAAACGTTAAACGGCCCAGTTCTACTGTCAGTGATAGACTTTACATCTAATGGTTGGCCCTATTACCATAAAGATGTTCCGAATAATATTCAACCGTTCTTTGCTTTACGCCATGAACTCTCTACTGATAAAGGGTTACTGTTGTTTCGTAATCGTCTCGTCATTCCATCATCTATGCGAACTGAAATTCTGCAAACTGTGCAAGGTGAACATTTAGGCACCACTAAAAGTATGGAGAGTGGTGGCCTAGAATCTCTACAAAAATCAAATCACCAGTATCAAGTCGTGAATTTTCTCAGGTTAATCAGCCTACACAAGTTAAGGAACCACTCAAGCCATTCCTTTACCAGACCTACCCTGGCCAAAATTGGTACAGATATTTTGGAATATAAAAATCATCACTAGATTGTAGTTATAGACTACTACTCTAGATACATTGAGATTGCTTCATTAATTTTCCAGATGGGGTGTTCCAAATGCTTATGGGTCGTCAAATTAGAACACCTATTCCTGTTTTGGATAAAGTTTTAAAGCCTAAGTGGCCAGCTAATTCCCAAGCCAAAGCCTCTGATCAGGCAAAATCAACGCATTACTTCAATCGTCACTCTGGGACTCAAAATCTGCCTATGCTAAAAATCGGTGATAAAGCTAGATTAGGGGAAGAAGTGGAGTGGTGATACCAGTATTTTTACTTCGACTGGTCCATTTTGTCGTTCTTGTAATATTGACTCGTCAAATTGTCAATATCGCCACAATCGTCGTCATATCCAGATTGTTCCGGATAAAGTTAGTCCAGTAGTTAATACTCCACGAACGTTTTAAACACCCCCAAAACAACAACCCAGAAACATACGCCAAATTAAAATGTATATCAGACTCCTGTTTCAGCTACATCAAACAGTTGCCATAAACCATGTATCCATAGACCCAACAATAAAATGGTTCTTCAAAGAATTCAGCATCATGTTCAACTAGTCCAAAGAAAAACAAACCTCAGGTGGTCGAAGTGTTCGTCGCCCTTTAACGTTCTATGACTATGTTTGAAAAACTTAAAAGGGGCGGGAGGGGGGGGGGTCAATACTATGTGCATGTTTTAAATGTTGTCTGACTCCATATAATAACATCTGCGAGCTTACTCTCTTTTATAGACTATGTCATCTTATGACGTTTGATATAGTAAGAATAACCGGAAATTACAAGCACATGTTTACGTGCACGAATGTCATGTATGTTCCTGAAATAAAACCCACAGTTTAAAATGCCTATTTTCTTTTAGCTACATTCGTAACACCATGGGCCACCCATTCACCTGTCCAATTAGGTAACGATTGGTCATCCATTACAAAGTTTAAAGAAACGATGCGTGATTTGCATTTTGTCGGATATATCAAATTTCTCACGGCTTAATCTACCCTAATAGGTACTTAGATTGATTTTTTAAAATTAATTAAGAAAACAAAATCAAAATATTAACGGTAGCCGACGTCATCCGACAATAAACAGAGAATCAGCCTACCGTAGATTGATGAAAAGTAAAATGTATCCTAATTTATATTTTATTAGGGGCAGTATAGATCGATGGAATTTCCTTCAATGTTGGAAGCAGTCCCCATGCTCCGTGGACGGACTGTGTGTGAGAAATAGCCTTATTTAACGTCCGCTTCCACCGAAATGATATCGCAGACAAGGAAGGACTAATTGTGATGTACCTTTTACAAGTGGATGTTCGGGGATTTCATCTCCCATCCAGCATAAATCGGCACTATTCACAATAACTGTTTTTGTGGGTAGTTGTTTTGGTTCTTATGGCATCATCCTATTTTTCTGTACACCATGTATTGTGCTAAGAGAGGAATTTTACTCTTTAACGGCTTTGAAGGGTTATGTTACGAGGGATATTTTCGGCCAACACCGGGATCGAACCCACGTCCGCCGGTTAGTGAACCAAAGCCTTACTATGCTCCTGGAGGAAATGCTTATGGGCATCAACGTCTGCGCCTACCTCTGGGTCGATGGATTGTGTTAGAATTCAAGATTGTATAATCTAATACAACGGACTAACCCCTGCTATTTATTAAGACAATGTGTAAATCATTGATTGATGTGGATGTGACAAGTTTACTGGTGGCTATATGAAGCATTTAACCGAGATAATTTCCCATGTGATCCGTTACATATAGCTGTCCAGGTTTTTATCCCATCTTGAATCATCAACTAGTAATACAACCAGTTTAAAGGGCTTTACATTTGATTACATTTGCACAATTACCGCCATTTTGAAATTGACTAGATTGGGCATGTCAGATCTGTCAAGTTCATATTTAGTTTGTCAATTTATGGACAATATGGACGCTCCTGCATGATGACGTCTGATAACGAAAATATATTAAGGTATGTCCATCACTAATAAATAAAGTACCGTGAAAGTGGCTCATTAACTGTCACTATTGGAAACTGTCGTGCTTATATGTAAACAAGTTGAACTAAATTTACCACCTTTCATATTTGGAAAGTAAGTACTGTTAACATCAAATAAAAAATCTGCCATTGTTGTGGACGAAAACAACAAATATAACGGTTTATTGCCTGCCAGTTTCAGTCTATTGTAATTATACACCGCAAACTATCAACACATTTCCGATCAATATTAGTGCTCTGGCGTGTTTCAATTTAATTTGACAACAAAACAAGGCATGCTTCAATTGCATGAAATGGTAGTAGCATAACAAAATTGAATATCCAACCCTTCTCGCCTTTGTGTGGCTTGGCGTGCAATTCTTGAAAGTGCATCTTTCACTTTTAGTTTATGTTGGCTAATTTCCTTTTCCCGCTCCCCTCGTCTCGTCAGATTGTGTTTCAGACGATATAATGAAATCATTCCGCCATATCATCGATAGAACGTAATAATAAAACTATAAGTATTGAGTATGATGGAATGTCTTCGTATAGGTCAGGGGCCATTCATTGTAGTTATTTTTAGGTTCGGACTGGTAGAATCATCAATATATTCCTTGATGATATGGAAACATATAATAAAAAAATATCTGTGTAATTACTGCATTTGAGGAAAAACGTTCGACGGCACTTTCATTCTTTAAATAGACATAACGCAGTGACAGGCAAACAATGAATAAAAGAGCAACTCCATCATACATTGACAAGAATTCGACCACGTGATCTTTCAATTAATCTTGCAACAACGATCATGAAGTAATTTAATTGGTCGATTAAGTTTGGAATCCAGTAACGAAATACTCTGACTGTGGCTTTTAAACATGAAATTAATTTCACTTGAATGTTATGGATGATATTTAATAAGAGTAATTGAGTGAGAATAAAAATGGTTCTAGAAATTCTTTGGTTTAGGCTGGTCAAATCAACAATTTCTTAGACTGATTGATGCTATCATAAATTGAATTAATTTTAGCCAATCGAGTCTTGCATACACAATATCTGTAATCAACAACACACGCGTATGCCTGCAATTGATTTGACTTTACGCCAGCATCGAACCTTAACAATACTTTACGAACAGCGTGCCAAGGGAATGGTTCGGGCTTGATTAATCAGAAAATGGTTTTGGTCGACATTTGATAAAATATATGAAAATAAGCCTTTGAAAAAATATAAATTATAGTTTGTTGGGTTTTAAAATTATGTCTCTCTTTTCCCATCGATGTCCCCCTTTCCACTGCTTGCCGTAGATAACCAAGTTTAGGTAGAATGAGATAACACAACTACAAAGACAACAGGAACCGTCCCTTTTCTTCTTCACAATATGTAATCTTTATATTGATATGCTCAAATATATCATTTTGTGCAATCTTGTACCATTTTATCAATCTTCAATTCACCGATTAACATGTATTTATTCCAGTGATGTAGTTCAAAATAGTATCATAAAATCGTTAATGGTTCTCAAAGCTATAAAAATTCTTAGGACTCTGATTGGAATTCGAAAATTTCTTGCCTATTTGTTCAGCTTTGGTGAAGAAATGTGAATTAAAAGCTAAAACAGTTATGACCCTGAAACATTCGATTACATTTATGTAGAAAAGCAAGTTTCCAGCTTGTTTAACTTTGTTTCTGTGACTAATTGGAAGTAGACAGACAGAAGTAGTTAAGGAATTTTTGAAAACGGTTGGCTATTTACGGATCATATAGAACATATATTATAAATGTAGAATGTCTTCCTCCCGCAAAACCCCATAATTTAGTAGCCCTATATATACTCTTCAAAAAAAGTAGGGGATATTGAAAAGTAAATACCTATGCAGGTTGTGATATGATAAATAGTCATGGACATTTGACATGCTTTGAGAGTATGTTCACAGATAAAGAACTTATCGCCCCAACAGAACCACTGAGCTGCACATGCCACACGCAATAGCGCCATACACGTGGGAGGGGTTCATTGTCAAATTTGACACTTCAAGGAAGGGTTGATGAAAACTGCCGGGTGCTGGTTTATCTATCCATGTTTGCTTTCCTATCGGTTCTTGCATAAGATTGACTGTTTAGCGTATCTTTGCTTTTGTGTGTTACGTTTAATTTGATCGGGAGACGTGTTCGTCGACGCCAACGTCAACCGACAACACTGCAAGAATTGGCCGTGGCACTGCAAGAGGAGTGGGTCAGATTGCCCCAAATCGTGATTGGACGGTTGATTAGGAGCATGCCACGACGAATTGTTGAATGTCTGAGGATTGGTGGAGCAATTAATCATTATTAATTTTCACTTTTGACGGTGTATCTCTTTGCAAGTGAAATGGGGCCGTCAGTCGTTTGAATAGTAGGACGTTAAATTTCAGTTCATTTCTAAGAGTTACATTGGCTAGAACAGACACCATATTGAAAGGTGATGATATGGGATACATAGATATTAGATATCTTATGCGACTTACCATGGGGATTGGGAATTTTCGTCGGTCTATCCCTATCCTGATTCTGGTAGATGAACAATCCACTGTGGCTAGAACTGAAAAAAAAGACAAGATTAAAATAGAGTTAATGAGATGAACTTCTTGAATCGGCTCAGCATAAATAACCTAAAAATTGTCTGAAAGCTTTAACATTTTTCCTCTTGAACAACCCAGTTCCCTTACTTTTTCTGCTACAGTTATCGTGTCTCTTGGGTTTAATTCATTCCCTTCTTTTTAAATTTATATTCCAGTTGTTGACTATCGGTAATTGTATCCTATTTTAAAACAACACTGTATGTTAATTTGACTTTAGAAAGAGCTGGTCGGTCTTGCTATAATAGTTCAAAAATAGTTAATCACAAATGAATTGAAAATTCCAGTCGAACATTTTATTCGGTGAGAAGGTATGAATGGCTAATTTTATTGGGTTTCAGACAATTTAATCCAAATGAGACTTTTAATATATAAGAATCGGAAGATGTATATAACTCTATTGGCAGGCCTTTTATCGGCGTTTACCGCAGATAAGGCGGACATTGTATAATCCACTCAATATCCAAGCCATATGATGGTATAGAAAATTGGTAATGGGCTTGCCGATTGAACAAATGTCAATATAATTAATAAAACATTTGAAGCCAGAAAAACGCCATGCAATAGGCCGATTTTGCTCTCGCATAATGCCTCTTTAACTATGGCAGGGTACGGCAATATGAGATCAGCGTATGGAATAGTATAAAGCCTGTAAAAATATATTTGAATTTTCTGTGTAATTTTACTGGTATTGCTTGTAAAAATCTGACGTGTTAAGATGATTCATAATAACTAGGTAATGTTCCAGACTTTCATCTAGTTCACAGTTCGATTAATCTTCGAATTTTCTAGTTTTATGTATTAGTCTCAGAATCCAACAGGCCCCCCTCCACTTTTATGCTGGTGACTCAATGTAACATTCACGAATTTCACGTGGCTGACAAAAATGTGTATCCCGTCACTGGATGAAAAAAAAACCCGGATTATTTTCAAATTTGTTCTGGAGCGCACATATATCCAGAGTTCCGCAACCCTCCGTTCATTTGTAAAATCAAAACAGTATAGGATAGTTTTCATGTTGAAAATATCAGTATTCTTGAAACTGATGTTCACTTTTTGAAAATGGTATACTTTTATTCACAATGAAATTGTAACTTAAATTGTAAATCTCATGAGAATTTATTTAGCCATTTAAAGAAAAATGACATGTACATTTGTATATCTTGCATTCTGTAGAAGAAATAATATTATAAAAGGTAGCCTGTTGGATGAAATTGTAATAACTTATACTTAAATATGCAAGAATGAAAGTATTGTTATGTATATTTCTTGACCTAGATGCATTTTGATGTCATACAAACTGAAGTAAACTGTAGGATGGCAATTTTTATAGGAAAAGTGTAGCAGTTCCTTAAGACCAGGAGCCAAAAGGCTACATGGTATCAATACATACACATCTGGTATCGACAGAATGTCAGTCTGTCGGGTATCTAGTGGTGGTGTGGCTGTGAAGTTGTTGTTGTTCTTAGTGTTTAACGTCTGCTTCCACTGAAGGTGATATCGCAGACAAGTTGTCTTTTTTTTATTTTCATTATCTGAGCGCGCGCGCAGGGTTCTTTTCTGTGGGAGGAAACCGGAGTACCCGGAGTAAACCCACGAGGTTGAGAAGGCGCCCCTAGTTCCAAGCCACATACGCTCACACCAGGGATCGAAACCACAACCGCAAGCCAGAGGTGAAAGGCCAGCTAGAGGATGAAGCGTGACACTCTAGACCATCCCAACCCTAGTGAGGGCTGAGATTCTGGACATGATTTCTTGGGCTAGGTTAGCTCAAACGTGTACCACATGAAAATGGTACATCAGTGTAGCTTACATCTTCAAGTATTTCAAAAACACTCTGACAGACATTTTTAGTGGCGGGGTACCCCTGACAGTGTTATGTAATTGCCACCCCCCCCCCCACCAACTAGGCTAGATTAGTTGAGATCCGTATCACTCACAATTGCTTGGACGTTGTTCAGCAACACCACAAGGATACTGAATTACCACTGCCAGACAGTTTGTGCAGTGGGGTACCCTTGACAGATAGTCAAAAATTCCATGCCCCGCAACTAGGCATTTTTGATGGAAACTCACAATGTTCCCTAAAACGTTGTGTAATATCTTGAAATATAAATTCTCGTTGTCAGTTACTTCAAATATGAACATAAAAACATGTTCCGACCAAAAGGTATTCCAACCAGATGACATTCTTCCACTTGTATTATTATAAAGACACAAATTATACACGGTCAAACAAAATCAACTATCGGACCATCGTAAGTTGAAAGCAAATGTTTATAAAAGCTGACTGGGGCTTGTCCAACCTCATGTATAAGTCTAACTTACCCTCGCTTGAATCACTGGAATACTCGCAATCGGTAGAAATGTCTGATTCTTCCATTTTCATCCGTATCATGCAACGGGGGAGAACTTTGTCATGACAGTTATTTGTATAACGCTGGCAAACATTTCCCACCCCTTATTTCGCTGTTTTCTGGTAGAGAAGGTGACACGGACGGGTGTCATAGTGGATCATAGCGTATGCTTGACAATTCGCTCTCCGTAGCTTCTGTTCATATGGCATTGTAATTTGTGCTCTTAGTCCTGTGATACATAAGTGTTTACATTACTGGTACTATTTTCTTCCATGGTCTACTAAACTTAGTTATTTTGTTGAATTTGGGAACCATGTTGGCGTTTCGTTCGGTCATGGCACATTTCGCCATTCAGATAACAATTCGGCGAATCCGAAAACTTATAGTTTAATACACTATTAACATCGTTATGTCTCGCCAATATGAGGTCAATCTGGAATACCTTTAGAGCGGAACATATTTTTATGTTTATTTTTGAAGTAACTGACACCGAAAACATATATTTTAATATATTGCACACCTTTTTAGGACTTTATGAGTTTCCCTCCAAAATGAGCCTTTATTTTGAATTTGGCCCCCTAACGGAATTAGCCATCACTTTTAGGAGGAATAACCAAGTTAAATGGATTCAGCAGGTCAAATTCTGATAGAAACCACCTCCATCCCGAATTTTACCCCACAAAATAAAAGTAAATAACCAGAAAATGCCTCATGTCGGCCATCTTGAATATTTAGATTTCCCCAAGGGTGCGAGGGTGACATCATTCGGATTCTGAATCTACACATATAATTGAAGTTTTTAAATCCATGTCAAGGCTTAAAATGGGGTTTGGCAACCGGACTTTCTCCTAATCATTGTTGATGCATATAATATTTTAAACACCGATGGGTGGTATGTCAGCGGTCACCGAGTTGAACCACTTCTTCATAGTATTACTTAATCTTTAATAGATATTACATACTCATGAAAATATGTAATACCCAAAATTCTCAATAAGACTGACCCAGCTGATAAAGCCAAATTTTTGGGGAGGTTGGGGGGGGGGGGGTCTGCCAGGGGTACACACTACCGCACAACTGTCTTGTAGAAGTCATTCATGATTCCCGTGGGGCTGCTGAACAGACTTTCATGCGTGTCTGCCAGAGGTACCCTATCCCACAAACTGTCTGGAAGTGGTAATGCATGATCCTTGTGGTGGTACTGAACAACTTCCAAACAAATTTAGGTGGTACGGACTTCAGCTAATCTAGCCTAGTTTGGGGGGGGGGGGCGTGGTAGTTTGGGCGTGTCTGTCAGGGGTAACCCCGACAAAACTTCTTTGGCAGTGGTCATTCTTGATTCCTGTGGTGGTGCTGAACGACCTCAAAGCAGTTTTAGGTGGTACAGATTTCAGCCTTGCTGTGGTGTGGCAATTACATAAGTCTGTCAGTGTAACCCCACCACCAGAAATGTCTGTCAGAGTGTTTTTGTACTACTTGAAGATGTAAAGTACACTGCTGTACCATGTTCATGTGGTACAAATTGGATCTAATCTATCTCAAGAATTCATGTCCAGAATCACAGCCCTCACAGCCACACCCGCCACCGGTAGACTTACATTCTGATGATACCAGATATGCATGCAATGATACCATATAGGTGAAAATTGGTGCACTTTTCAGCTAGGCTGACCCCACCGGTACCCTGCTCTACCTTGATCTTGATATTTATTTTGTTTTTACCATTTTTTTTTTATAAAACATAAATATATAGCTTTAATAGATATATGGAAATGAAAAATATGTACAAAACGCCAAAACACAGGATTTTAGCATAAAGCACTATATTTTCACCAACATTTTGTATTATTATTATCATTTAAGAAGGAAACATAGGGCAGAAACTAAGTCTACTAATTGGAATAAAGCGGAAGCTAATAAACAGATTTGTGCTTGTCACCGTTAGAGAAGCTTGAAGTGACAGGTTTGTCAGCTTAAGTAAAGGGGAAAAGAGGGTATGGAATGGGAGGGTGGGATACGAAAGTGAAATAAGAAAGTCGAAATGGATGATACCATATTATATTTCCGAGAGAGAAAGGGGAAGGGAGAGCAATAAACTATAACACATACTTATGGAAGAACAATTACTGATTTATTTGGGCGACGTTTCGAAGAGTATTCTCTCAACGTTTTCAAGCAAGTACAGTAACAAGTGTGTAGAGCAATTATATATAGACAAGCAATAACAACAATTCAGAAACCATGCATGACAACAACAAGATCAAAGGATTAAAAAACAACATGATCAAAGGCAATATACATATGACGGATTATAGGGGTAAATAATTTTAATTGGACAACCAATCATGACAAATGAGAAACCATACATGATGTGATTGGCTAGATGAGGGTACATCAAGGGAATAATAAAGGACTGATAATAGGGGTAAACATACCATTAAACCAAACAAAAGGGAAGCCATACATGTTACGAAAACATCAGAGGAGTAGTGAGCTACATAGGGATTAAATGGTTAAGGGAGAGGAAGCTGTGTGTATATTTGTGTCTGGTGTAAGTGTTATGTGATTGCTAAGTATAGCTTATAGCAGTGATTCTCAACTAGTGT